TCGATATTGCAGCGTACTACTAATTAACAAAATACAGTACAAATCGAACGTATGAATGAAACAATTTCTTTAAGTTCTTAACCGTGACGTTATTTCCCGCTAATTTGAAAATTAGGTAGGACACACTGACAACTCAACTCTAGCATACAACTTTTACAAAGGGAGAGGCTTGTGGATGAAATCATGATCTCACTCACAAAGGTTCCCTACCAAACAATCAAACAAAATAAAGAACAAGATTATTAAAAAAACACTCAATCATCTAAGTACAATAAAGTCACATACTGCAGGCATGTTTGATACTGATGCTAAAAAGTATAAAAACGCTGCTTTCAGGTCCAACATTTCTCATAAAGGTGCTTATTAGCAGAAGTGATTTAAATATAAACCGTCCCAAACGGGCTCTGAGTAAAAGCATCCTATTGCAATTTCATCAAGTTAACCCATGCTGCTGACTGTATTAATTAATCAAAGGTTAAGTTAAATAAATCCCAACTTGATCAAATTCCCACTAGTCATTTTGAATTTGAACGCAAGTGGAAAAAGGAAAGTATGGGAGCAGTTTTTCTCCAAGTGAAAGCCATCATCATACCACCAGAAAGGGAAGAATATATTATATGGCCATCATTTCACCAGAAAGGGCACAATGGGCCCACCAGCCTAGCTGGAAGACCGTACCAAGGTTAAATTTCTACAAAATGACAGTTTTGTCCTTCCGCATGCCATGTGGCAGTGGTAACATTAACAGCAGAATAGAATCGGGGATCGTTCGGAAGAAGAAATTTTTAAGGCGGTCGGAATACGCAGTGGTATGTTATGAATTATTATACAAGTAGACGAAGTTTTTATTTTTTTTCTTCTTTTTTTCAAAGTATCTTGTTACTTGTATAATAATGTATGTATTCGTGTTCCAAGCATATGAGAAAATTTCTTGTTTGTAACTGATTTTAAACTGATATAAATACCCTTCGGTGAATATATTTTTGCAACGCTTCTCTATGAAAAAACAAATGAATTTTGAAAAAAAAAAAAAAAAAAAAAAAAAACACTTCAAATAATTTTAAAATTTTAAAATATTTTTATTTTTTAAATCTACTTTCAAACAAGCCTCAGATGGTTGACGAAGAAGGATGGTTCTAACTCTCTAATCAGCTGCGCCCACGTCATCTGGGACATTCTAAATACAAGTGGAACGGACGATAGTAACCCTTATGTGACAAAGAAAGAAGAATACTCCAGAACAAGGTAAATACGGATTACGCGTACATTCGGTAAATGTACAGTAAACAACTCTGTGGATACCACAGAGAATCACTGCTTGAACACTCCGACAGTGACCCAGCGAGTTGACACGTCAACTGCAGCAGTGTCGGCGGAAATCTAAATTTGTATATTTTTTTTTTTTGTGAAAATCTATGTTATGAAGCTTCAAACTTCGAAATTGGGCTGTATAAGAGGAAAGGAAGATCCTTGGAAAAATGAAAAATTGCCATTTCCAAAGGTAATTTCAGCTACGGACAGGGGTAGAAACGGAAAAGAATTAAAAAAAGGCGAAGTCACTAACCAGATATCGCCGGAAAGTGGACTGTATCTTCACCGCGGCGAGATGGCGGCGGAAGGTTGAAGGCGCCGCCACGGGAAGGCTGACTTGCGAGGAGGTCCCTGGTGGAGCGCCATTAGTGAGGCGGACGACCTCAGCCGCCGCATGAGCCGCCGCGAGAGCAGCCTCAGCGACGGCGGCAGTAGCGGCTGCTACGGCTATGGCATGCTCGTTGGCGTCCAGGCCCGCCCATTCCTGAGCAGCAGGTGATGACGTGGAGGCGCCGGGCTTGTGCTTGTTAGACCCAGAAGTAGTCTTCTGACTCTTTTCCTTGGTGGTGTGCTTGTTCGTCGGAGACGGGTTGTTTTTGGGCCGTTTGGGGCCGAAGAGTCGCCGAAAAAATCCCATTTCTCATTGCAGTGGGAAGAATAAGCACATGGGACGACGGAGTTGGGGAATTTGTGCCGGAGGGGGGGGGGTGCGTGAGGGAGAAGCCAAAAGCCAAAAGCAGAAATAAGGAGTGTTGGAGTGACAAGGGAGTGAGCGATAGAGATGAAAGCAAAGATTGTGGACGAGTGTTTGGAGTTTTGGAGAATTTTAAGAGTGGTCGAGGTGGACAAGGATGGGCTTTGTCGCACAGTTAGGTGGGCCCGGCGCATTTAAAATGCAAACGCAAAAAACTTTGGGACTTGTTATTTAACTTTAAAAATCACATTTTACATTTCAAATTTTATATATTTGGAAGAAAAAAAATACGCTTGTAAAGAGTGTATAATGAGATTTTTAAAGCGTCAATAACACTTTTCAAAACTTTTGGAGTATTTACAATTTGCATGTTGGGCTTTCCTCCTGGGTTTTACATCTCTAGTTGGGCTACAATATACACATTGATCCATTTGTTAAATGTTGAGCAAATTTCAACTCTGCCATCTAAAGGCAAAATGAGTTTTTAACAACGGAATTTTTACGATGCTTTGGAGTTTTTTTAATCATTATATCTTTGATTAAAAATATAAAAATTAATATTTAATGGTTAAAATGTCCAAAATATCGGTTTGAGAGAATCGAGTGAGATCATGGGGGACGGGAGAAAAGGCAATACTAGGACCCTCTCTCAATGTTATCCAATAATCTGACACCACTTGATCACTTGCTTGACATGTAGGCTTTCTTTTTAAAAAATAGAGGGGATTGACTGATGGTTGAGTCACGACAGTCCACCTTTCTGGGGTCGGGATGACTCATAAAAGCATTTTAGATGCCCTCTTATCACTATCGTATGATTCATTATCACTAAAAATTGAACCCAGAACAAGCCATGTGGAGGGACCACCCCGTGGTGATTGCTTTACACATAGACTTCAACTGACAAACATATCGACAACTATGTAGTTGAATTATGGTTAATCAATACAACGATAGTCAATGTACTTGTCGAAATTTGATGGTTAGACTAATCAGCTCTCAAGGTAGTCTGCCCCAAGTGTAATCTTCTGAAAACTTGCCGTTTTTAGTTGGAGAATTATGTTTTGCAGTTGCCTTGGTTTGGAAAGGGAAAAACAAAAACAGAAAAATGAAAGGATAAATGGAGAAATGATCATATGATGGGTGCCCCTTCAAAATTATATTTAGAAACCAAAAATGGGCATTTCAGACATTTGAGACTCTACACTATACAACATAGTTTAACAGAGGAGAGTCTGAAGTGCTCTATCTGCCATTATAAACAAAAAAAACAAAAAAAAAAAAGCCCAAAGCCCAAAGAACGATGGAGTTTGGACACCGAGATCCATAGCCTACAGAAAACCACAAAAAAACACATGAACAGTGGAGTGTCAACAAGATCTTAGGGCAGGGTCAGAATTTTATTCTTGAGTAGACTAATTGAAATTAGTACATAAAATTATATTTGCTTATATAAAATTATATAATTATCAATATAAAAGATCAACACAGAATATAAACTATTCTCAAAATCATAACCTTAACCCAGAAATTCCAAGACCATATAAATAGTTAACCTACTAATTAAACCAAGAATAAGTAAATAAAGAGATTAAGAGCATACCAAATGTGACATTTATTAGAAAATCGCAAAAGAAAGTAAGGAAATACGGAGATAGGGAACTAATTCTAGATTTAAGAAAAAAAAATATTTTTCTTTTCTTGAGTAAGAAGCACAGAGGTTAAATCGCATATGATAAATGATCATTTTCTTTTACGAATAGGATAAAGGAGGACGGAAGATAGGACTAAATCATAATTTTTAGCATAAAACGTATTATTTATTACCTATCCTCTACTATACATACATTAAATAATGACCTGTATTGAATTGTGCTATTCACACAAAAGAGTAGTGTTATTTACACGCATTTTTACCTCCAACACACCCTTACTAATTTTTTTTCATTGACTATATTCAATTCATTGGATCCGACAGCCGAAAATTGAAAAACATATGTAAGAAGTAAAAATAAGTGTATGCAAAAATAAGTGTACGAATAACACTATTTTTACAGAAAACCTCCCTAGATTACAGCCCACATTAACCTTGTGGGTGGCTCTGCCATCATCTACGTGCAGTAGTTGAGAATGACCACGTGGATCGTGTTCGTTCGAGAAGAACATGTTAGGATCAGTTTGTTGGTTTATCACCAGGTTTAGCTTGTTCGTGCATGCACTGAACCACCCGGTTCGTTTCAAAGTTGTACAAACCCTGTGTAATGAACATCGAAAGATCCAAACTGGCTAACAAGACATGAACATAAAAGCTTGAGCATACGATGGCGGACTTTTGTAGGGATACATCTATATTCTGAATTCTTAGTGCGCTAGAGTACTCGCCATTTGCAGTCAGTGCTACTTGAAGTGAAAGCTTGAGCATCCTCAGGCTTTAATGAGATGATGTAAAAGGGCGACACTGAGCCAACAAGGTTCCTCGCGTTACGAGGGTCAGGGAAATGTCTATTGTACGCAGTCTTACTCTTACTTTGCAAATAGACTATTTCTACGACTCGAAGACTTTTCGATAACAAAAAAGTGACATTTCCGTTACGTAAAGGCTCGTCCTTAGTTTCAAAATGATATACCCATGTAAGTAGACCTATAGTCATATCTTCTCGATAAGGTCATATCTTGTTGTCATTATTAACCGTGAAGAATTCAAAAACTTCCTGTTCCCCAAAGTTGAAACATTTTTTCCATTTTATTCAACAACTTTAAGTTCTCTCTCTGATCCCCATATCATCACAGATCAGAGCATACATTCGAGGGAAGAAAAAAACGAAAAAAGACAGCATAAGCAAAGTGATGAAACTTGAACATTATTCCCTTGGCAGCGTCGTAGTAGCGCATCAGTTGATGTCTGCAAAAGGGATTAAATTATAAAACGATCTTAATTAATCCTACAAATTGTAATTAATGTACGATGATCAATTAAACATATACTTTTAGTTGACTAACCACAAGTGAGGGGGGAGAGATTGCACTGGGCGGGGAGGCGAGCGGCGACCCTGATAGCGTTGCAAATGCATTCAGGATGGACGGCTTGGAGCGCGCTACAACAATCAGAGCTCGGGTTGGTGTTGGTGGAGCCAGGCACCACAAAAGGTGCACACACATTTAGGCTGCTCAGCTCGGCCGAGCAACTGCTGCCCTGAGCATCAGCCTTCCGAGTATGCACTGAGATGCTCAGGGCAATAAACAACACAAGGATTGTAGCAGCTTGGAAGCAGCTGAAAGAGTTGATAAGATACTTGAAGGATGCCATGATTACCACTCCACCGTTTGTGTTAGAAGGTAATTAATACTATTTGTATGGATTAAGATTTCTGATTAACTATGGATTATCTTGTAGGATAATCAAGTCCATTTATAGGTGGCAATTGGGCAAGGAAGAGGTGGCTTCATGTATGAATCACCTAATTACTGCTGGTTAGATGAACAATTTCGTGTAGGGGAAAATCATGTAGGTCTCATGACCCAGTTAAATTTTGTTATTTTTTAAGATACAAACGGGTGTTAAGTAGGAAATTCACAAATGATGCATCAGGTGTTATGTATTAGACCAATTAGATAGTGTAGTAAACACTTGAAATCGTGCTACACCGCTCAATGTGTAAATGTGCCGCTTAATGGTCGACATTGATAGTTTTTTCATGTGTACGTATTATGTGTTTGCACAACATCTGAATGGTTAGATTGTAATATAAAATCAGCTGCTGGTGTGAGAAAATTGAGATTTGGATAGAACCCTTTCATTATATGAAAAATCAGCTGCCTTCGGCTGGAAGAGCAAATGCCTTGAAAAAAGAAACATGAATTTTAAGTACCAAGCAGAGCAAAACAAAATGCCAATGCTAGGAGGAAGATTCATCCTCAGCTGCAGCAGGAGCTGTCCAATACTTTTTCACGGTGAACAGCAGTTTTTCCATCTCGTGAGGACCGTCTTCGTGGTCTACAATCTGACTGTCCCATTCCATGCCGTTGATGATGCTCTTGATTTTTACCAACACATCTACGTCATCTCGAATGATCACGCTCCCCTCTGGCCTCAGAATTCTGTCCATCTCCAGCAAAATGTCATCTGCATTGCATCTGCAACTCGAATGTGACATACATTGGTACATGTTACTAATTGTCACACACAAATAACTAATGCACGTAAAGCGTAGCAAATGTTTTTTAAAATTTGAAGTATATTATGAGTTTCAGGTTTACCTATCCTGATACAGGCTAAACACTGAATCAGCATGAATGAAGCCATAAGTTCTTGGATATGTAGACATTGCTTCACACCTGCAAAATTAATACTACTCCGAGCGTGTTAGCCAGCCTTGAAATTTTTATATATGTCATAAAAAATGTATGATAAAATGTTACTGGATTTACCAATTCTGATATGTTCCAATCAGTCCTCGTTCGTAGATGATTCCTAGTGTGTTAACCTTAACTTCCACCGGAACGACATTCATGACCCAGACAGGTAGATCAACTAGGGCAGCAGCAAATCCACCCGGCTGTGCATTCATGTCCAAAATGTTTCTGTACCTTCCAGGGTTTCCGAGCTGATTATTCACCGATTTATAGTACGAAACCCTCTTCTTCCACAGCTCCGAATCTTGCTTAAAAACGTCAGCCGTCACACCTTCCACAGTTCCCTTGCTAATCCTTAGCGGGATTGCATTGAGCCTATGTGGCCGGTTTGCCAATTTTCCTCCTGCAACTTCTTCATTGTCTGAAACTTCTGGCAATGGGGTCAAACAAGTTCCAACTTTGTGTACCTGCAACATTTTGTACAAGAAAAAGAAGTAGATGAGTTTAAGGAAATAGTTCAGTTATGTTTTTCTTTCTAACCAAATCAACGAAATTCATTAAAAACGTGTGCACGACACTAATCTCAATAAGATCATAACATTTATGACTTTAAAAGGTAAAACTAAAGCGAACACATACCAAGCCGTATCAGGATCATTGGTGGGGCAGAAATTGCTAGCCTTACCGAGCTTACGGTTATTTTGGCAACTCAAATGGTTGGTTGGTTTTTGCCAAATGGCAATGTCGTCCTTCTTCACCAACTTTTTCCAGCAAAGGCTCTTGGCTACATCCTCTATGGAAGTCTGCTCCTCATTCAAATCCTCTTTGGTTCTTTCCCAACCCTTCCAATATTTTGCCCAGAGGAGCGGTGGGCCCCATAGACTCCAGTACTTGCCCGGTCGTAGAACTCTGTCCACCTCCGTTAAGTAAACCCTGTATGTACTTGTTCACTCTAAAAATTACAAAGCCTACGTGGCGCGCAGGTCGAGTAACTAACAAGCTAACTACGTCATTCGGTTGAATGCGGGGCGTGCCAACTAGTTGGCCGAGCTTAGCCGAGGAGTAAAATTTGTTGATGTTGTGTTAAGCGCGTTGCTGACTTCTTTATCTTGCGACTGCAGCTGATGAAGGAACAAATCTCGGCCTTTGGGTTCTCGAGCCTGAAGACAAGGTTGCTAGTTTTGCGAAGTTCACAAATCGTCGACATCGAATTCGGTCATAGTGGTTATATTTGTGAGAGTATAACCACGTCGAATCGACACCAGACTGTATGGACACAAGTATTCAAGGGTAATGTGTGTCTTGATGGTAAATGTGGTTCGGCTCTCAGAATGTCGAACTCTGAAACTCACTTGGGAGTATCCAATCATAAAACCATTCGGCGTTTAATGTGTCGAATGTCGTAACTCGTAACACCTTACTTTACCGAAAAGGCTAATAAGATGACCTCTGCTAATAAGGATTCGGAAACCCTTCTCGACCGAGACTTGGATAGGTAACCAGTCGGCCTCGACACAGTGCTGTTTATCCAAACTGAAGGTGCTCCTAGGTCGGCTGATTCTATGGCAACAGTGCTGTTTATCCAAACTGAAGGTGTTCGCTGGTTACCTTCACAGTATTGTTTATCCAAACTGAAGATGTGTCGGCAGGAAAAAGAAAATAAAAAATCTCAAGATGTTTGAGAGGTTTTGAGCAGGGCAGTTGTGTGTTGGATTGGAGGTCCTTGAATTGCACCCTAATTTCTCTATTTATAGCAGCAAAACCCAATCCTAACCATACTCGAACTAGGACTCCTTACCCCAATCCATCTTATCTCGGCCAATCCCACTTCTATTAAGACTTTGAACTCATCCCCTTTCAAGGCCATATTCATTGTTGGTCGAGAATCCAAATTGCACTAGGACTTCTTTGACCCATTTGCTCATCCAAACTACTCCTTCTTGCTATAGGACTCGACCATCCTTGCTGAATGGCCCGGGACCACCAGGTAGCCCATAATATGTTTGAAACAGTTTTGGGCCGAACATAAACCTACACTCGGCCCAATAATATTATTTTAGGCCCAAACAGTACCAATTTAGAATGTGCAAAATTACGCAAATATGTAATGACTAATTCACGCGTTATGATATAAGCAGATGACAAATGTGAATTTTGGAGTTGATATGAAGTTTACCATGTTGGCCCCAAGGAATGAGGCAGCGAGAGCAATGGGCCATGTCAAAGGCTCTAGAAAGGTAAGGAAGTCTTTTCGACGCAAGGATTCCGATGAGGGCGGGCACTCCTCACTCCAGAGCAAATTGGACTTGCAACACGTGCGTGACCCTTAGCGCAAACGACATGGTGAGGATGTCGCGGGACAACGGGTACACTCCCCAACTTGTGAGAAATTTTTAGTTGTGACGGGAATACGAGTGGTACACCACGTATTTTTATGTAAGTGGTGAAAAATTTTATTTTTTAAGTTATTAACTTTTTAATACACATATCCCACTATTTATATAGCGACACGTGGTGTACCATATCGTGTGACGATCATATTAAAAAATCTCTCCCAACTTGCAACCTGCATTGCATGCACGTAGAGGAAATAATAAATTAACATCACATGGCTGCCACGTGGACTGTGACCAAGTCAACGGCGTTGACTTTGTTAAAAATAAAAAAATTATTTTCAATGTGCAGAATGAGAAATAAAGTGTGAAAAATTGTTTCTCGATAAAATTTGTGGCATGAGATCAACTTCAAAATAAGGTGCAGAAAATTATTTCTCGAAAAATATTATAACACATGATCAACTTGATGTCATGATTTGATGTTACAATTAGGTTACAATTAGATTATGTAAAATATAAATGTCATCATGACATTTGATATACAAATTCGTAACTATAGACATTGAAATTTCAGTGAAATAAATGTTGACCAATGCATTAAAATTACAACCTTTATTCATTGCACCTACATCACACACTCATTTTACCTACAAACTCCACTCATTTCACCTACAACAACCACTCACTTCACCAAAAAAAAAATGGATGGTGGTGATTCATTCTCAAAGCCTATAAATAGGCTTCTCCATCAAGGGATAAAAAAAAAGGAGACCAATTCATATCACACCAAAACCTTGAAGCTTTGAAACTCTAAAGCTCTCAAGCAAATCCCGAAGGATCAAGAAAGCCCTCTTCGTTCTTCGTCAAATCCGCCTTCAAGATCAAGCCTCAGCGGCCCTTGAACAAACTTCCCTCAACCTTCAAGTTCAAGCCTCGACAGCCCTTGAAGAAAGTGTTCGTCGTTCATCATCCGTTCATCCTAAGATCAAGTCTCAAAGGCCCTTTGGATCAACAACATCAGCAAATCCACACACTCATTCTTCAAGATCAAGCCCAAAAGCTCTTGAAGATCCGTTCATCAACCGTTCATCCTAAGATCAAGCCCCAACGGCCCTTTGGATCAACAACATCAACAAATCCACACAACTGTTCATCCTAAGATCAAGCCCCAACGGCCCTTTGGATCAACAACATCAATAAATCCACACAACTGTTCATCCCTAGATCAAGCCCCAAGGGCACTTTGGATCAACAGCCCATCCACAGATCTACACTTACGAAGATAGAATCAGATGATCAAATTGTAAAAGAGATTGTAACCCTAAAATTAATACAAAATATATTTTGTACACGTGTTCTTATTTCAGGAAAATTCATGTTTACAATAGCTTTCTCTTAAAAATTAACTTGCCGTAAATTACAGATCATCAACACGGTAATTAAGATTTGATGAAATTATTTTCCAAATCGAAATGTTTTATTTCGGATAGAGGAACCAATAATTTAGCCTTCGTCGTTGACCAAAATATGCATAGTTAACAATGTATCGTAAAATATTTGCACTTGATATTTGTGCGAGACTCCTTTCTCAAGTTTTGGGGTTAATTCGTAAATTTAAAAAGCAAAAAATTAAGAGGGAGGAAATGTCTTATTTTGGGAAATTAAATCGCCCCTCCCCTTCCTATTTAGTTGTAATCATCAACTACCACGAATTCACCAAAATACTACTTTTATGATCTATTTGTATTATCATGTGTATCATTTCTTTAATGGAGATGAGACTCATATGTATTGGCAGATCCTACCTCTATTAGAAAGATGATACAAATAAGTGATAAGTGTAACATTACTCCTAATCCACGAGAGATTTTGTAGGATATGTGTGTTAAAAAGTTAATAACTTAAAAAATACAATTTCTCACCACTTATATAAAAACACGTGGTGTACTGCTTGTGTTCCGGTCATAATGAAAAATTTCTCCTAATCCACGCCTAAGTTCATATTATATCGAAATTTGTCGTAATTCACACGCGGCCACCAATTTTCTTCTAAGAAATAACCATTCAATAATTCGAGTTAAAACTGAATTATTTACCCAAGTGTATATTAATTTAGACTAAACCAGTAATAACTTAGTGCACGATGGGGCCAACTAAGAGTATTAAAAACTAATTATGTTAACGAAGGATAAAATCTGATTATAATTAATTAGTAAATAAACAAATAATGAAAATGCAAGCTTGCTTACCCCACAGCCTGTATCAATGGCGGTCCGAATCGAGCCATCTTTGAGATTGATCAATTTGCCAATATCATCAATGTACGCGTCCGCACCGTGAGGGAACTTGGTGCCTCCCCCAAGGAATTTGAACGTGTCTCCTTCGTATATGATCCAATTCTGTGCAGCCTTCTCCACCGTCAACTCCTTGTGCGGCACATTGGCGTACCACGCCAGATCCCGGCTTCTCGGCCAGGAGAACACGTTTTTGTAGCCGTACGGTGCCGGGATGCGGCACTTAAGGAACTCGCTCTTCTCGGGGCAGTGCCTCTCTCTGTATATGAGCCTGTCCCAGTCGAACTTCAGCGACCTCTTGGAGTCCTCGCACGGCGTGTACTCGCTGTATTTCGCGTTGCAGCACGGGTACTCGTTGGTGGCGGCGGAGTGGGAGGACGTGGTGGCGGTGAAGTTGGGGCTATGGTGGGAGTTGAAATCTAGGGGTAACGTGATTGTTGTTGTGTTGTTTGGATTTCGTTGGAGGATTTGCATGGGAGATTGAAGGTTGGCGAGGTGACGGTTTTGGTGACTGCGGTGGTGTCGTCGTGTTGCCAGAGGCCGAAGAAGTAAAAACAGATGCATAGGAAGAGGATGACGGGTAAGGTGTAGACGTTGCGTTTTATCCAAGGGAATAGTGAGGGTTTGGAGGGCTTGGAGGTTGGGTGGTACGGAAGGCGGTCGCCGTTGGAAGTCATGGATGTATGGTGTGTGGTGGAAGTGCATGATGACTTTCTTTCTATTCCCTGGGAATTTAAAGGGGTTTATTTGAGGGAGGTGGAGGCAGTGAGGGGTTTAAAGAAATAGGGTTATGACGCACGTTGGGGTGGTGTTGTTTGTCTAATTTATATAGACATTGGAATTAAATTTTGAAATAGATCTGCAGGAGTGCTTATTTTATATTGATAATACATTATTTAGTTTGTAAATTAAATTTAAAATTTGGTATACCTAACAATTCCTACCTAGTAATGCTACCAAATAACTTGCCGAGTATAGATAGACAAGCTAACCTGGCTCTTCTTTCTTTCTTTCTTGGTTAAGCCTTCACCTCTGCACACCAATTCAATTGATCAAAACACCCAAGACTCACCTAGAATCATCTCAACCATACATTGACAACAAGGCTTGGACAGATGTGCATAGATAAAGATGAGCAAGAAAATATTCTTCTAGGGTTTCAAATGCAGCCATGTATATAAACACTACTGTTTTCACTCTTCATGTTTTTAAGTTTTAGGTTTGCCGTTTCTCTTGCTTTTCTCACTCTCTAAAATTGGCTGCAAATTTTTGGTCGAAAAAAAGGTAACGTTCCGCTTGTACAGCTCCCGATTCTTGAGATCATTTGCGGCCGTGTATTTTTGCTTAATGTTTTGCAGCTAGTTAGGATTATTCGTTTTGGTTATGTACATATATTAAGCTCTGATCGATCGATCTCTGGAATTCAAAGTGCTCACTGATTTTTTGTTCTACTTGGTCTTCAAAATTTTGACTCTGCTGCTCGATCTTCTTGTTTTTCTGCTTGCTTAAGAGTTTGACTAGTTTAATTTCGTTAATATTTTGTTACTAGTCAGAAATCTCTGTCTCTCTGATAAGAATTTAGCATATAATTTCTTTATTCCAGTTTTACTTTGTTAAATTTTGAGCTCAATTGAACTGGTTCTGTTTAGGTTCTCTAGTAATTGGTGGGTTCAGGGTTGATAAACTTATGTCATTTTTTCAAGCGTAGTTTGGTTACAAGTTAGACCATCTCCAATGGGGAGGGCTAAAGGTCGTCCAAAAGCCAAACGATGACCTGATTTGCCAAAAAATTCATCTCAAACTGATAGCTGGGCTATAATTATATGGAGCCTTCAAGATCATTATTTGGCCAAAGCGGCATCATGCAGACCAAATGTAGCCCTCCACTTAGCCACTTTTTTTGGGGCCAACTTCTCAATTGCAATAATTGATTCTAATTCAATGCTAGATTTGAAAACATCCGATTATGTGTTTTGTGCTGGTTGTTAATGTTGAATTTACTTTCTGCCTAACGTTGGTTTGGAAACTAGTTCAATTTCTGTGTTTATTTTTTCTCGTTATGCTGCTGATAGTGTTGTTTCCTTCCTTTTATCTTAGATCCCCATCATAAATTGTTGAAAGCTCATACAGAATATAAACTCTCTACTTTCACGAATTCTCCATTTTCAGAAACATGCTAGCATCAATACAGAGTTATACTTACGCTTACCAGCACCGGGCATGTAATGCTCTTCCAACAATATTAGCATGACCAGAACGCTCAACATATTCAGCAAAACCAGCAACACCAGAACCAATAGCGGCAAGGGGCATTCAGTGCTACTTCCTTAACAATGTCCCGGCCAGGTTTCATTTTTCTTCTCCTCGCTACATATTGATTTTTGTTTGTTTGTTAGTTATGTAAAACATATTGTAGAAGGATGATGTCTGTGATACAGTGGGCATTGTAGAGCCTTTGTTTCTATTACCTTTTTAACACGTCCTGTCTAGTACTATATCTGCCTCTGGTTACCATTCAGTGTTCCTTTCATTAAAATTAGTTAGTATAGCAGCTCTACAATAAAACGCGAGGAAAATCTTGTTGATCCAAATTAATATACGGACTTTAAACATGATTTAAGCTTATTGTATGAAATAGTAAACACAAGAGGGTTAATTAATCTTTCCATTTCGATAAAAAAAAATCTATGAATATCTTAACTTGTTAGAGATTAAGGAAAGTTTAGCTAAATAAGATTAATAGAGGGAAAGAGACATTATTTATTAGCTATTAGCTGTCATAAAGAGAGTGATTTCTACTGCTTTGTGTTGCATGCCTTTATTTATAAGAGGCAGCGGCAATTTATCTTTAGTTCGAAAAAAACTTTTGTTTGTGAGTAATTAATTTCCTTAATGCTATAGGAAATCCTGGTACTCTGAGCTATTTGTTTTGGGAAACAAGCATTAGAGACTTATTAGAGAATTGGGTAATTTATTGTTTCCTAGTCCTTAAAATCATCTTCTCCTACTCTTGCAGGGAGGGATTACGATGTTACCACTACCAGGAAGGAAAGAATTTAGTGTATATAAATAAACACGAGGGGTACGGGTTTTGCTCACCCAAAAAAAAAAAAAAAACGAGACAAAGCAAATTCGTGCTTGAAAGTCGAAGCTATGGCTTCAGTAGTTTGGCAAAGTTTGCATAAGCATCTTTTAGATTCCGTCTTGGAGAGATTGGAGTCGCCAAAGGATTATTTGCATTTCAGCATTGTTTGTAAGTGGTGGTATTCTGTGGCAAAGGATAACTACAATCCGCGTGCTAAGGTGACAACTCCAGTGCTCTTGCTGATTCAGACTGCAAAAAGAGGCACATGGTCGTTGTGCGATGTCATGCAGAATAAGGTCCTTGATTTTCACGTACAGGTTCCAAACGTGCGATTCTGCGGCTCTTCAAAGGGATGGTTGATATATGTGGACAAGGATTCTGTAGTAACCCTGGTTAATCCATTCTTTAGGGTTAAAAGGACGAGAAAGAAAGAAAATTCCATCATTCGCCTTCCTCCACTCATCAGCGGTGTTCCACCATTGAAGAATTGGGATTCGTCTATCAGCTACTATTTTGCCTACAAAGCCATACTTTCAGCAGACCCTGTATTATGTGCAGACAATTACATTGTTGTGGTGATATGCGAGGTATACTGTCAATTGGCTTTTATTAGACCCGGTAAAGACACAACATGGACCTTTGTTGCTGATAGTCGGCATATAATTGAAGATGTTGTTCCTGTTGAAGATGAATTTTACGGTGTTGATCAAGGAAGACGCAAGCTTGTAGCTTTTGATACTAGTGCTCAGTACAAATGCAATGTAATATTGGATGTAGGCAACACGGAAGAAGTGCCAGCCAAGAGATACCTTGTGGATTTAAATGAGAAAAGATTTTTAATGGTTGAAAGGTATGGGAATGTTATAGATGGGAGACGAATGACTTATCAGTTCAGAATTTTTGAAATGAAGTCTCACAAGTGTGAGTGGACTGAAATATACGACTTGGGTGATGTTGCTCTCTTCGTTGGTGATAACTCTTCGATAGCTTTGGCGGCTTCGAAATATTCAGGATGTCAACCCAACTGCATATACTTCTACCACGACAACATTAGTCAAGGAGCCTTCCAACCCATGAAATCTCATGATTTTGGTGTGTACAACGTGAAGGATCAAAGCTTTTCGCAACCTTACCCAGAAGATATTATGACCCTTATGCAGATGACCAGTCGACCTCCAATTTGGGTTGAGCGACCTTTTAAGCTCTAAAAGGCTTTACTTTTTTTCTCATGTTTGCCATATCTTAACTCATGTTGTATGCTTTTGATAAGCTCTAATACCATCCAATGTCTCTCTTTATAAAAATAATCATGCTATCATTTATCTACTGATCTCCTATTCAGTTTTTCTTATTACTACTCTACTCTATTGTGAAGCTAGTCCATACAAAATTATTAGATTTATCGTATTAGATTACTGAGGTCAGTTGTTATCTAATTCGATTAATATTTCAAATTAAGGCAACGTTTGGCTTCTTACAGCTCCTGATTATGGAGGTCAGTAGTTATCTAATTCGATTAATATTTCAATTTTTTGTTTCGATTTTGGCTGCTAGTTAAAATTAATCGAATTAGATTAGGAGTAATTGGTATTTTGAAGGATTTTAATTGTTTTAATGAATCCAAGGGTACTTAATTAGGAATTTAAGTGATACTCTGAAATCTCACATCTCCCCAAGAGATTTTAAGGGAATTGAATCAAAATTTTACATGGAATCTCTACAGATCAATTAAACTCCATAAAAATCTATAGATCAATAAATTCATTCAAATCTCTCAAATTCCCAATTGAATACACCCCTAAATTATTCTCTGATCGATCTCTGGACGGCAAAACGCTTACTGATTTTATTGTTCTACTTGGTCTTCGAAATTTTTTTCTTGCTGCTCGATCTTCTGTTTTTCTGCTTAATTACGAGTTTTACTGGTTTAATTTTCTTCAAAATTTGAGATGGAGTTGCTTAAAGTTCGACCGTTATTCTGTAGTTATCACTTTATTTGATAAAGGCTGAGCTAAACATTTGATTATTTCACTTGTATTTTGTTCTACTTAGGCTTCAAAATTTCTTTTTTGCTGCTCGATCTTCTGTTTTTCTGCTTATTTATGAGTTTAATTAGTTTAATTATGTTCAATATTGTGGTGCTCACTAAAAAATCAACATTTTGGAACCCTGGGGGGCTTGAGTTTGGGTTGGATTTTATGTTTTTTGCACGTTGTTAGTGTTTAATTTACTTATCGGGATGGTGTTGGTTTGGAATTTAGTTCAGTTTCTGTTTTTATTCTTTTGTTGTTCTGCTGCTGATTGTATTGTTTTCGTTTGTTTATATTAGATCCCCATAATTAATTGTTACAACCCTGTAATGAATATAAACTCCGTACTTTCTGAAGGTCCCCATTTTCAGAGAAGTGCAAGCATCAATATTAGCATGTTGGGGTCATCGATTATGGACGGAGCATGACCAGAACTCTCAACAAATTAACCAAAATCAGCAATACCAGAACCTACGGAAGCAAGGGGCTTTGGGTGCAACTTTACAGCTCTCGATTCCTGAGGTCAGTAGCTAGTAGCTGCCGTACATTTATCTAATTCGATTAATTTTCAAAATTTTGCTTCGGTTTTTGCTGCTAGTTAAGATCAATTAATTTGCTTAATTTTTTTATGCTCTAAGACTGTAAAATGCTCACTGATTTTTTGTTCTAAGTTTCGAAATTTCGTTTTGGCTGCCCGATTTTCTGTTTTTCTGCTTAATTACAAGTTTTATTAGTTTAATTATGTTCAAAATCTGAGCTGGAGCTGCTTTAAGTTTGATCTTTAGTCTGTAATTATCAGTTTCATTAGGCTAAACATTTGATTATTTCAATTGTATTTTGTTAAATTTTCGGTTCGCTTGAACCGGGTTGGGTTTAGATCCCCTAGAAATTGCTGGTTTCAGGCTGATAAGCTTATGTCATTGTTTCATGAGTAGCTTGGTTGGAAATTAGGGTTTTTGGGGTGCTCACTAGAAAATCAACATTTTGGAACCCTAGGGGGCTTGAGATTTTTTTTTTTTCCCTGCTCGTTGTAGTGTTTAGTTAACTTATCTGGATGGTATTGTTTTGGAATTTAGTTTAGTTTATGTTTACAGTTCTTGCTCTACTGCTTATAGTGTTGTTTCCTCTTGTTTATCTTAGATCCCCATGAGATATTGTGCTCCATTTTCGGTCTTTTTGTCCAATAACCGATGAAATTAGTGACACGGTGAGGTGGGGGTTCTTAAATTGTTTGAATTTTTTCTGGTGGCACTGCCCATATTATATTTGTGGGGCTCACCAGGAAATCAATATTTTGGGTCGGGTTTCGTGTTTGTTGCTCGTTGTTAGTGTTTAGTTCACTTATCTGGTTAATATTGGTTTTGAATTTAGTACAGTTTCTGTTTTAATTTTTTCTTGTTCTCCAGCTAATAGTATTGTTTTCATTTTTTTTTTCTTTCTGGAAACTGTTTTCATTTGTTTATCCTAGATCACCATGATTAATTGTTAAAAGCTTGTGATGAATATAAACTCTGTACATTCAGGAGGTCCCCATTTTCAGAGAAGTGCAAGCATCAGTACAGAGTCATACTTATGCTTACCAGCACTGCCCATGTCGTTCTCTTCCAACAAAAATAGCTTGTCAGGGGTCATCGCTTATGGATGGGTCTTCTGCAATGCACTAAATTCTCAACATCACCAGAACTCTCAAAAACTTAAGCAAAAATCAGCACCAGAACCAACGGCAGCAAGGGGAATCGAGTGCTACTTACTTACCCACATTCCAAACTGGCCAAGTTTCCCTTCCCATCGGACCGTTCTTAGATGATGTTAATAGCATGAAAGACTTGCTGGACTTCTGCAGGAGAACAAAGTTGGGACCAATTGGTAGGCTTCCTCTTTTCCTATATATATTCTAACCCTTTTGCTGCTTTGCATGGATGGTTGATCGTGTTATTAGTAGCGTCCTCTGGTATTAATTGCTTGGCCAGCATTATCTTAGACAGTTTCTTAAGACGTGATTATACTACGGAATTACTGATATCCTACATGTTGGGTCATTCTTTGAGTTGAGGAACTTTCAGTTTCTAGCTAAATATGCTTCTTGCGTATTATCCCTAACTATATTGATGGAGATTTGGAGCAAATCTTGCTTTAACTTTGCCCGGTGTCACCCCACCTGTCACTTTTTTTTTTTTTTTTCTTAGATTCAGTATGGCCTTTAGTTTTTATTGATTTAACATTTTAATGGTGACGCTTGTTTTATCTCTTGTTGTTTCTCATTTCCTTTCACCCATTATAGTTTTGTGGAGTTAGAATTTTAAATCCGACACTCGGGCTCTTTTTGTCTCAGAATTTTAAATCTGAACTTGTTGTGCCAACTGTTTTCCTGATGATTTCTCCTCTTGGTGAACTTGTGTTGATAATTGCAGAGGCATGAAGTTTATCCATGACATGCCACTGCAGCCAAGCTCCAGATGCAAAAGATGCAGGAAATGGATCAATTAGCAAGTTCTCAGGGATTGCCCACTTACGCGAACACACTCAATAAGCTAATGGCATTGCATCATGGACTGAATAACCAAACGAGCAACTACCATCAGATGGCCAGTCGTGGAAGTACGAGCCATGTGAGTTCCTTGTTTAATGCACTTTATTGGGCTATTTTTTTTCCGTTCAGTCCCCTTTCAGCAGGTATTATTTATAGACATGGATTCCTTTTTTTGAAAATATATATTGTTTAGACGTTCTTAATTATTATATCATTTGTGTTACCTTTTTTTGGTAAATTTCTTAACCTGGTACCATTATCTGTTTGCTTACATTAAGGAAATCAATTAGTACATGTCTTTTAGATTAAGGGATGTGATATTCACACATCCCATTTTACTTTTCACACATCCCATTTTACTTTTCACACACCCTTATAATTTTCGGCGGTCGTATCGGATGAATTGAAGAAAATCAACAGATAGAAATTAACAAGAGATGTGTAAAAAGTACAATGGAATGTGTGGATAACACACCCCTAAATTAAATCATTAGAGGGAGAGGGAGTGTGAGGAAAGTTAATAAGCGGACAAAGACATTTCAGATGTACTTTAATGGTTTTAAGCTTTGCTGCAAGAAGTCACTTCAAACATTAAAGGGGGTTAATTAATCTCTCCCCCATTTGGTGACAAGATAAAAATCTCTCAGTAAACCTTGAACAGTTCGCTGGAGGAAGGAGAGAGAGAGGGAAAGGAAAGCTTAGGTGAAGGAATTTAGTAGATGGACAGTGACCGTATTTATTAGGTGTTGGCTGATTTCACTACGATGGTTTGCATGTCTTGCTATATAATAGGCAAGGCAGCAATTCAAAACTTCAAAAACCTAGTTGCTTTTTACTGCAGTAGAAATTCCAAAAGTTGAAAAGGTGTTTTGTTTATATGATATGCATTTCTTTTCATTTCCCACTTTCTCTGATGCATCTTATTTTGTTTTTCTTTTCTGATAGTTTTCTTTTTGACCTTGCAGATGGCGGAGTGCGGCGCTTGTGGTCTTGTGTTTTCCAGCAAAGATGATTTGGCCAAACACAATCGCCTTGTACATGAGGATTTCCCCAAATTCGTCTGCTTTAACTGTGGAAAACAATTTGATAAAGAAGGTGGCGTGGTCACTCATGGCAAAAAGCTTCACAAGAAGGACTATGAAGGGAAGTTTGTTTGCCACAGTTGCAGTCATATCTTCATTAAAACTTCTGATCTCAGCGACCATGGTTGCAGCGGCGAAAGTGCCAGTCGTGGGATTTGAGGGAGTGGAGTAGTGAGGGGCTTTTAGAGAAATAGGTTTATGATGGACGTTGGGGCATCTAGTTGGTGTTTGTCTAATTTAGTTTCAGATTATGGTTTAAATTTGGAAATACATCTGCCAAAGTAGTAGGCAGGTTAAGTTGGGTCTTTTTTTTTCCGTAGCTCCTCCAACCTCTTCACAAGAGGCCTCGCGTTGTGTTAGTCGTGTCTTATTTATTACAAGAGGACCCTTCTTGTAATTCGTTTTTAGTAAAAACTCCTACTTACCCGGTTTCGTCAAGCTAGCGAGAGAAAAATGTTAACGATGATACTTATCGAGAGAGAAATTTTAACGATAATACTTACGCACTCACTAGTAAATACTTCTCATACTTACTTTTTGGGCCAAAGTGAGTACTTCTCATACTCACATTTGGTTCAATCAAAAGATGTTACATGTACATTTTGAGGACTATTAAGGCCCTCTTTAGTATGAAATCTTGAATTAATCTAACGGTAGATTAATTTATGAGGCTAAATATCCTAAACAAAGAAGAGCCCATGAACTGATTTAAAAAAACCCCAAAAGGGTTCGTGTTGAAATTCCTCGCACCAGGATTCACGCTTTCAAGAATGAGGGTTTAGGTTTTGTAAACCTACGAATTTGAATTTTTCCTGCTTGAAATTTCCTCTATTAAATTTGCTTAACTAAACTTTCCATATTGAGAAGAAAATATTAAAATGAAAGACCCGTTATCATTTACAGGGAAATAATAAATACATACATTTTTACTCTTTTACACAGCCTTGTATAATCATGTTCGTTGTATGCACTTCACATGTTCAATCGGATGGCCACATATAAAAATGGGTGAGTGACCAGCAGCGGCCGGAAAAAAAAACTTTTGTTTGTGAGTAATTAATTTCCTTAATGTTATAGGAAATCCTGGTACTCCGAGCTATTTGTTTTGGGAAACAAGCATTAGAGACTTATTAGAGAATTGGGTAATTTGTTGTTTCCTAGTCCTTAAAATCATCATCTCCTACTCTTGCAGGGAGGGATTACGATGTTACCACTACCAGGAAGGAAAGAATTTAGTGTATATAAATAAACACGAGGGGTACGGGTTTTGCTCACCGAAAAAAAAAAAAAACGAGACAAAGCAAATTCGTGCTTGAAAGTCGTAGCTATGGCTTCAGTAGTTTGGCAAAGTTTGTATAAGCACCTTTTAGATTCCGTCTTCGAGAGATTGGAGTGCCAAAGGATTATTTGCATTTCAGCATTGTTTGTAAGTGGTGGTATTCTGTGGCAAAGGATAACTACAATCAGCATGCTAAGTGACAACTCCAGTGCTCTTGATGATTCAGACCGCAAAAAGAGGCACATGGTCGTTGTGCGATGTCATGCAGAATAAGGTCCTTGATTTTCACGTACAGGTTCCTAACGTGCGATTCTGCGGCTCTTCAAAGGGATGGCTGATATATGTAGACAAGGATTCTGTAGTAACCCTGGTTAATCCATTCTTTAGGGTTAAAAGGACGAGAAAGAAAGAAAATTCCATCATTCGCCTTCCTCCACTCATCGGCGGTGTTCCACCATTGAAGAACTGGGATTCGTCTATCAGCTACTATTTTGCCTACAAAGCCATACTTTCAGCAGACCCTGTATTATGTGCAGACAATTACATTGTTGTGGTGATATGCGAGGTATACTGTCAATTGGCTTTTATTAGACCCGGTAAAGACACAACATGGACCTTTGTTGCCGATGGTCGGCATATAATTGAAGATGTTGTTCCTGTTGAAGATGAATTTTACGGCATTGATCGATGAAGACGCAATCTTGTAGCTTTTGATACTAGTGCTCAGTACAAGTGCAATGTAATATTGGACGTAGGCAACACGGAAGAAGCGCCAGCCAAGAGATACCTTGTGGATTTAAATGAGAAAAGATTTTTAATGGTTGAAAGGTATGGGAATGTTATAGATGGGAGACGAATGACTTATCAGTTCAGAATTTTTGAAATGAAGTCTCACAAGTGTGAGTGGACTGAAATATACGACTTGGGTGATGTTGCTCTCTTCGTTGGTGATAACTCTTCGATAGCTTTGGCGGCTTCGAAATATTCAGGATGTCAACCCAACTGCATATACTTCTACCACGACAACATTAGTCAAGGAGCCTTCCAACCCATGAAATCTCATGATTTTGGTGTGTACAACGTGAAGGATCAAAGCTTTTCGCAACCTTACCCAGAAGATACTATGACCCTTATGCAGATGACCAGTCGACCTCCAATTTGGGTTGGGCGACCTTTTAAGCTCTAAAAGGCTTTACTTTTTTTTCTCATGTTTGCCATATCTGAACTCATGTTCTATCTTGAAAATGTCGCTGCAATTTTCTTTTCCTATTGGCTGTTGGCTCCTCCAATTTTAATGAGAAATGGTATTCTCTTTTTGTTTTCTTTAACTAATGAATATGGTCATTCAAATTAAAACAACACACACACACACACACACACACACACACACACATATATATATTAATTCTTAAGGATTTCATACACACACACACACACACACATATATATATATATATATATATATTAATTCTTAAGGATTTCATACACACACACACACAATATATTACAATATCTCTCAATGCATTTTCATATTTTAAAAGTGTTGCATAACAACTTTATTACCAATATCATCCAATCTCTCTGTTATCATTCATCTACTGATCTCCTATTCAATTTCTTAATCGATTCTTCAACAATTTTTTGATCAAAAATGCTCTATCACATGGAGTTACGATATATATGCAATATGTACATTTTTCCACCCAAAAAGCTTGGGGTACGGAAAAATCTAGTACCCTTACCACACCAAATTTTTGGTATACTGAACTTCGTTGTGCCATAAAATCCAATTGACATGGCATGGGTAATTGTATCACTTTGGTATTAGCCTATTGTTTTTTGGTCCAAAATATTTTTGCTTTGCTAAGCAAGTCGCAAACATATTAAGACGAAACTTAATATCAACGCTAATGTATACTTATAATCTATAATCAAAATTCATCATTTATCATTATTTTATGACGCATTTAGTAAGTCAAACCAAATCAATAAAAAGTACAAAGACTTCAAGTTGCAACTAAATGAATATATCTTCTTGTTTTAGGCCGATTTAACTGAGTAATATAAAAGACAGAGAGAGAGAGGGGTTTATAATTGAGTTAATTGAAAACATAAATAAGAAAACAGACCAAATTGTAAAGTCATTACAATTTAGTTAAGTGCCACAAGACAAAGTGGGCTTTTGCATTGTCCAACGGATGATATTAAGATAAGAGAATCTAATATTAAAAACCAAGACCGTATTTCGTTCAAAAAAAAAAAAAAACCAAGACCATGTAGTCATACCATGTTGACTAAAAGAAACCACACCCCTTATTAATTACATGGAGATGATAAATACATACATTTTTATTCTTTCACACACCCTTGTAACCCTAGCTATTTGTTTTAGGAAACAAGCACTTATTAGAGAATTGGGTAATTTATTGTTTCCTGGTCCTTAAAATCATCATCTTCTCCTAGTCTTGCAGGGAGGGATTACGATGTTACCACTACCAGGAAGGAAGGAAGGAAAGAATTGTGTGTATATAAATAAACATGAAGGGTACGGGGTTTTTCTCACCCAAAAAAAAAAAAAAAAAGTTACAAAAAAAAAAAAAACAAACAAATTCGTGCTTGAAAGTCGAAACTATGGCCTCTGTAGTTTGGCAGAATTTGCATCAGCACCTTTTAGATTCCGTCTTGGAGAGATCGGAGTCGCCAAAGGATTATTTGCGTTTCAGCATTGTTTGTAAGTGGTGGTATTCTGTAGCAAATCATTGTTGAGTGGTAATCTTGTCTTCGGCCCATGACAAGTGATCCAACCCAAAGCCTATTGTGCAAATGCTAGAAAATTCTAGCAATCTATGTTGGTGATAGTAGCTGGAAAATTCCAGCAATGGAAGTCGGTGGGAGTGTGCATAATCATGCACTGGAAAGTTTAAAAAAATTGAAGACATTATGCAAGCCAATGTCGGTGTGCATTCAAGAAAGATCTAGAGGCAGCAAATCATGTGGTCATTGCTGCAATGCCCAAGTCGGTGGGCAGAGTAAGTCGGCAAAATGCTTGCCTATAAATTTAGGTGTGTGTGTGTGTGTTTCCATGTAGCAAGAAGAAGTGAGAGCAAGAAAGAGAGCAAGAAGTGAGAAAAAGAGTGAAGTGTGAGTATGTTTGAGTGTTTCCTCTTGTATTAAGATTGTGTGAGAATAAAAATTTTGTATAACACTTTGAGTGTTTTTTTCTTTCTCTTGCCTATCAAATTCCGCTGCATTACATTCTCCTTTGTGAGATAAACATCTCCAAAGTAGTGAAGTCTTTTTAAACCCCAACAAAGTGGTACCAGAGCTATGGCTAGCAACAATATGGCAGCCTTCCAAGTTCCAGTGCTCGACAACAACAACTTCGATAATTGGAGTATCAAAATGAAGGCCCTTTTGGGTGCACACGATGTCTGGGAAGTCGTGGAGAAAGGCTACACTGAGCCAGAAGATGAAACTACTCTGTCTCAATCCCAGAAGGAGAGTTTGAAAGATTCAAGAAAGAGAGACAAGAAGGCTCTCTACCTCATCTACCAAGCATTAGATGACAATGGGTTTGAGAAGGTCTCGAGTGCAACCTCTGCCAAGCAAGCATGGGAGAGGCTTCAAACCTCTTACAAAGGAGCCGAACAAGTGAAAAAGGTTCGTCTTCAAGTATTAAGAGGTGAGTTCGAATCTCTACAAATGAAAGGGTCTGAATCAATTTCTGATTATTTCTCAAGAGTCTTAGCCGTTTCCAATCAATTAAAAAGAAACGGAGAAAAGTTAGAAGATGTTAGAATTATGGAGAAGATACTACGCTCGTTGGACCCCAAGTTCGAGCACATTGTCGTGACGATTGAAGAAACTAAAAACTTGGAAGAAATTAGTATAGAGCAATTAATGGGTTCACTACAAGCATATGAAGAGAAACATAAGAAGAGGCAAGGGAATGATGAGCAGCTCCTTAAGACGCATGTTCAGCCAAAGAAGAAAGAAGAAAGCTTCGACAACGAGAGAAGACGATACGGAAGAAGTCGTGGTCGAGGTCGCGGACGTGGACATGGGCGTGGATGTGGTTGGAACTTAAACAACCATAGCAACTACGAAAGAGGAGAAAGCTCAACAAAAGGTCGCGGAAGAGGACGCTCAAGCTCAAGGTATGAAAAATCTCAAGTTCAATGCTATAATTGTCAAAAGTTTGGGCATTATGCTTGGGAATGTAGAGCTCCAAACAGCAGACTTGATGAGAAAGTCAATTATGTGAAAGAAGAGAAAGAAGAGAATGGTGTTGTGCTACTAGCATGCAAGAACAATGATGGAGACCAAGACTATACATGGTACCTTGACACCGGCGCCAGCAACCACATGTGCGGAAGAAGAAGCATCTTCGTAGAGCTCAATGAATCAGTGAGTGGCAACGTTTCTTTTGGAGATGAATCCAAAATACCCGTAAAAGGAAAAGGTAACATCCTTATTCCCTTGGAAAATGGCGGTCACCAATTAATTTCAAATGTCTACTACGTGCCCAATATGAAAAGCAACATTTTGAGTTTGGGTCAACTCTTAGAAAAAGGTTATGATTTTCATACGAAAAATTATATCCTTTTTCTTAGAGATGACAAAGGAAGATTAATTGCCAAGGCGAAAATGTCAAAAAATAGAATGTTTCCCATGAACATTCAAAACGATGTTGCAAAGTGTCTTAAGATATGTTACAAAGACATATCTTGGCTTTGGCATCTTCGTTTTGGGCATCTTAACTTTAGAGGACTGGAGTTATTATCTAAGAAGGAGATGGTGCGAGGCTTACCGTGCATCAGCCACCCTGATCAAGTTTGTGAAGGATGTTTACTTGGGAAACAGTTCAGGAAAAGCTTTCCAAAGGAGTCGACCACAAGAGCCCAGAAGCCACTCGAGCTCATTCACACCGATGTGTGCGGTCCAATAAAACCAAGCTCTTTGGGTAAAAATAATTATTTCCTTCTCTTCATTGATGATTTTTCAAGAAAAACCTGGGTGTATTTCTTGAAGCAGAAATCAGAAGTCTTTGGAGCATTCAAGAAGTTCAAAGCCGCTGTAGAAAAGGAGAGTGGTTGCAAGATCAAAGCCATGAGATCTGATCGAGGAGGAGAATTCACTTCGAAGGAATTTCAAGAGTTTTGTGAAGCAAATGGAATTCGTCGACCTTTGACAGTTCCAAGATCCCCTCAACAAAATGGAGTGGCGGAAAGAAAAAATCGAACCATCCTCGACATGGCTCGAAGCATGCTCAAAAGCAAGAAATTGCCTAAGGAATTGTGGGCAGAAGCTGTAGCATGTGCTGTCTACCTATCCAATCGGTCTCCAACAAGGAGTGTGTGGGGAAAAACTCCACAAGAAGCATGGAGTGGAAGAAAACCAGGTATTTCTCATCTAAGAGTTTTTGGAAGCATAGCCCATGTACACGTACCAGACGAGAGGAGAATCAAACTCGACGACAAAAGTGAGAAGTTCATCTTCATCGGCTATGACACCAATTCAAAAGGCTATAAGTTGTATAATCCAAACAATGGGAAGACGGTGATCAGTCGAGACGTGATGTTCGATGAAGAAGGAGAATGGGATTTTGGCCCGCATGCAGGTGATCTTCACTTCTTTCCTCAATTTGAAGAAGAGAATGAACAAGGGATGATGGAGCAAGCAAGAGAGGTTCAACAAGAATCCACTACTCCACCTGCTTCACCAACATCAACCAATCATGGTAATTCATCAGCATCAGCATTGTCAAGTGAGAGTCTAAATGAAAGAGAAGTACCACGCACAAGAAGTATACGAGATCTTTATGAGGTAGCTGAAAGACTTGATAATCCTACACTTTTCTGTCTCTTCGCTGATTGTGAACCAGTCAACTTCCAAGAAGCAGTGCAAGATACTAAGTGGAGGAAAGCAATGGATGAAGAAATTGAAGCAATCCAGAAGAATGATACATGGGAACTCGCTATTCTTCCGAAAGGACACAAAGCCATCGGAGTCAAGTGGGTGTACAAGACAAAGAAAAATGCCAATGGAGAGGTCGAAAGATACAAGGCAAGACTAGTGGCGAAAGGCTATAGTCAAAGAGCCGGAATCGACTATGATGAGGTATTCGCACCCGTTGCTCGGTTGGAAACTATACGATTACTAATTTCTTTGGCAGCTCAAAACAGT